TCGCTTGTTTTTTTTTTTCAACTTTGACAAAATACGAGCTTCGTTCTTTTACTGATTCTTGTTGTCCTCTTTAAGGAAAACATAGTGGTCGTTGAGATAATCTTCAATTCTGTTTATCTGCATGAATTGGTTACTACGTAAAATGTAGGGGAGTTCTGGAAACAGGCTTTTTTGTAGAAAATTTTGCTATTCGAATCCTATTTAGCCCTCATATGAAAATGCAAATTCATAAACCTTATTGCATATTTTCAAAACACCACCAATTATATTCCAAAAGATGATTTGGCTCCTGTGTAAATGTAAGAGGAGTCCTGGGAACTCAGTTTTTGTAGAAAACTATCGTTTTCGTCCTCCAGTTGGACCCCAGGATAAGAATGAAAATTCAGAACTCTTTTTGCACATCTACAGTATACCACAAATTATGTTCCCAAAGATTAGTTGGCTATTGCTTAGTATGTTAAAGGAATTTGAGTAAGAAAATAGTGTGACAGATATACGACCGGCGTTCTAAAGCAAAGATTCCCCCTTGCAAAAATTTCCTAAAGGAAGTTTTGCTATTTTGCAATAAAGCAAAACTTTCCCCAGATTAATTGCAATGAAGCAAATCTCCTACGGAAGAAATGCCATATTGCAAATCCTTCCCTAGGACTATTGGAAATGCTCAATTTAATGCAAATAAGAATTGGGTATAAATAAAATTGTAATATATATATTGTAATGTAAAATTAGAACATAACATAAATTTAGGAAGTCTTATTATAGGAATCTAGAAACACCAAAAAGTTATATGTTCCTGTATTATCCAATATCCATAAACACACCTTCTTTAAAAGAAAGATTCGGTATATTGTTATTATCTCGATTTATCTGTCCCTCCGTTCGTCTGTCACACTATCTTCGTCCTCAAATTCTTCTTAAATATTTAGACATTTCTAGATCTAAACATCTTTTTGGAAAATGAAAAGTGAGTTCTATAGATGTGCAATAATGTTTTAGAGTTTCCATTTTCACCCAGGGAACCAATAAGGGGTTGGAAAACGACGCTTTCCAACTTAACCCAGTTTTTGTTCCCGTAACTCTTATATTTTACACAGTAGCCAAATCACCCTTTGAATATGACTAATAGTGTGCTGTAAATGTCCATTAAGGATTTGGAATTTCATTTTCATTCCAGAGGCCAATTCGAGCTGAAAAACATCGTTTTCCTTAAAAAAAAGGTAATGTTCCCAAATATCACATCACTAATTGTCCAATCAAAATGAACTCAACTGTAGTTTAATACATAAAAGAGAATTTATTATTTGCTGTGAGAAATCCCCCCTTTCTTTACAAATTTGGTATCTATGCTTAGGATATTTTATGTACTTTGTGAAATGTTGAAGATTGTTAGGGACTATTTCTTTCAAGGCATAGGGGGCCACTTCCAGAGGTTCACACAAGATGGTTACAAACACATAGAAAACACGTGGTTTTGAAGGTATTCCTGTTTGCAGATGGCAAAATCTAGAAAATGCCCTGTAGGTACTTTTGGGAGGCAGCTTTATGTGATAGGTAATGTTTAACAATTTTTGCTAAAATATTTTTGATGAATTTAATGACCTAATTTTTAAAGATTTTATTTAAAAATTCTGTTAAAAATTATATAGTGGAAACAATCGTCGATGTGGCACTTCAAATCCTATCATATTTTAGAAGTATCCAAGTCGTATTTTGGAATTTGATTGATGGTGTCCAGGTGAATTGCATAAGGATTTCGGAATTTTATTTTTATCTTGGAGACCAATTACAGGCCGAAAATTTAAAACGTTTTTTAAATACTCGTTAACAAAAATATGTTCTTTTCAAAAACAACCTTCTAAACAGGCCGAAAATTTAAAACGTTTTTTAAATACTCGTTAACAAAAATATATTCTTTTCAAAAACAACCTTCTAAACAGAAATATTTTTCATTAATTTTGTTTTTTTAATTTCAGACTGGTAATAAATCTATTACATGTATATGAATGACAAACATTAGAGGACCTAGGGCCTCATGCTCACCTAAGCAATTCAGGCTCAGTTTGTTGCATGTATATTTATATAAATTATACAAGAAAACTTGATGTCGCCATCAATTATCACCTAGGAAACATACTAAGACTGTTTTAGTCATATAGAAGCATATAAATATTCTTTTGTGACGGTGTGACTTCATTCAGATTCTCGTCCTCGGCGTCGGAGATAAGGGAGACAACCGAGCGTCTTGTAGACCCTTAAGGAATATTACTTGTGGGTCGTATGACAGTATCTAGTTTCATGTACTCGCTTCTGTCTACCCGTGCTCTTTTTTATTGGTTTGTTTTATACGTACGATTGTCTGACGCCATCACAGTCAAAACATAAAACCTTTGTTTTTAATTTTTTCTTTTATATTGATCTTGCGCGCTGAAAAGGTAAAATCAAATATCAGCTGCAGTGTTGCAAGGTAGGTTTAATTTTTACTTTTCCTTCGAAAATATGATCATTCTTTTAAAGATTCAATTGTTTGTACATTAAGAAAATAAAAAAATTTCACGATTCAAAATAGGTTGAATACACAGAATATAAACAAGTACTTTTTTAAATGGGTAATTGCAATAAAATAAAATAAAAGTGTTTCCTCAGTTTGTTTCAAACATTAAAATTAAGACATGTCTAAAAGCTCTTTAGGATTGTGTAATTTAAAAATCTGTTTTAGCATAAACTTTATAGGGAAAATTCATGTTAAAAATTGCATGCTTTTGCAGCTTTATAATTTTTCAAAACTTTTTTATACTTATAAGGTGTCGATAATAATTTTTTTTATATTATTAGCCGGATACAAACTCAAATAATTTATTAATTTGTTAAGGTTAAGGAATCATTATTCACGTGCAGATTGATTTCCGTATTTTCTTAATAAAATAGCCCATGTTAGTGTAAGTCATTTTTCTGATGTGATGTTATCACGTAATTTATTGGATACGACAAATTAATTTACTATTAGTATGTAGTAACTAGAAAGAGGAACCTTTCTAAATAATACTTTTTTTATCTAAATTAAATGTAGGAAAGTATTTTTTCCAAAATACACATACGATTTTATTTCTCTATTATATTTAAGAATTATTAATTAACACATATGTTTTGAACGATATTCTTATCAAGGTGAGATTTTAAACCTTTCTTTAAACCTTTTTTATATTCATGTACGAGTATTGATCAGATTAATTGTCAGTTTAATTTGTTTCTTTAAAAAATCTATGATTTCTTTGATAATAATATAGAAACATAACTGTTGTTAAAACATTGCTGTGACGTCATGCCTTTGTTCTTGCACTCTAAAAATTTACCTGTAGCCGTCCGATAATAATAATTAGCAGTCCAATAATATATTATCGGACGGCAGTGATAACAAAATCGGACAGTAGTTAAAAAACAACAACTAGAGTGAAATCAAGGTTAAATATGTCCAGAAACCAAAAAAAAGTTAGGGAGAAAAAATTCAGGGAAAGCGAACGCGAGGAAATTAAGTTGTTAAAAATAGCAAACCTGGAGTTTTAACCTTCCTCAAAAGTAACACTTTCTATTCGGTCTTTTGCAAAGCGTTTTCGATACAGCACTGTGAATAAGCCAGTTTAAATCCATTTCTGATAAAGAACCAGTCTGCGAATCTCTTCATTTAACGAGGTTAGTTCGCCAATGACCGCACTTTATCATTATATCATCCAATCAAAATTTTAGATAAAAATCCGCATTTTTACTTTAAATGCATTTTGAGGATAACATCCAACACTGTATCTGTATCAATGTCAAACACACTTACTAAAAAAAAATTCCGAATCATAAAAAAATCCTTCATCACCTGACCACTGTCCATAGTTCCTGCTAAGCCAAACGACTTCCATTGAATGAATGAACCAAAAGAGTTTACTCACTGATTTTACTTTCTAAAGAAAAAAAACGTTCTCTTTTCTTTTGTCTACTTATTAGATGGTTTCAGGTAGAAAACTATTGATGCCTGAACTCCTGTTGTGTAATTATCGGACTTCTCCAGGTAACTTTTGGACATTTAAATAGCAATGTTTTAAGTAAGATATATGCCTCATACAATTCTATATGTAAAATTATCAGACTGTTTTCGGCCCTAACGGGCCTCAAGCAGTCTGATAATTTTACATATAGAACAGTATTCGGCATATATCCATTACTTATGCATAACATCAGTGTTTGAGACAGTTTTCCAGTTTACTTTTTCTTTGAAATAATGACTTTTTCAAGTATTGTTTATACCACTCGTCAACCTGACAGTTTTCAAAGCATATGCTACGAAAGATTTTTTTTTTTTTTTACAATAAAACAGTCAGAAATTAATATTGCATTGTTTATTTACACCAGAATCTATAGTGCTCTAATAAAAAAAAGGAATTTAAGGAAAGAATACCAATTTGGTCTTCATTGCAATGTTTCTCATCAAGTTGCCTAGTCAGGATTCATTTGTTTGTTATTGGTGTTGATCCTTACCTAACAGCACAATTAATTCTAAATTCAAGGATCAGAGTACGAAAGAGACAGCTAACCAGCCGTTCTGTCATAAAACAAGGAACTAAAACGATACATGCTTGTCTCTCCATGTTAATGGAGACTATGTGTTAATTACACCAGTACACTTAATCCCTTCTGTTCAATCAATCTTAACACATATTGTTTTTTTTGGTATTAAAGGTGTCCTCTTAGGTAAGTCTTACTGTATCTGTGCTTACTATTTAAAAGTGCATCGTTTTTAAGAACATATATTCCCCGTTACTACAAATATCCCCAGTACTTGTAAAGATAACAAATCTTTAACAATGTAAATGCAATGAAGTTCAATACAGTGCAAAATTATTTTGATTTTTTTAAAAGAAGCATGATTAACATTGAAATTTCATTATCCTTCCAGGCCGTGGATAAACATGAACCAAAATGAGAGCCTGGTCAGCAACCAATCTTTTCCTCCACCACCTACCACTCCGTCTCCCTCGTTAATACTGTTCCTGACTCTGCAGCAATGCGTGTTTCTCTTGTCTTTTACCGGAAATTTCATTGTCATTGTCGTGATTCTGAAGTACCTGAAACTCAACTCGTTCAGCAATAGAATGGTCGTCAGTTTAGCAGTTACAGACTTATGCACAGGTTTTGCGAGCGGAAGTCAACTTTTCTACTTCCTTTTTCCTGATATAGACCAAAACAAAGTATCTTGTTTTCTACGGTACCGCATTATTTCAATTATGACCACTGCTTCACAGTCTTCGTTATTGTTTTCCACTCTCGACCGTCTTGTAGCAGTCTATTTTCCACACAGATATAACAACATTATGAAGAAATCACTGGGGATCTTTTTCATTATTTTAGCGTGGTCTTTTGCTCTTGTTGTCGGTCTTTTGCCTTTTATGACCCAGGATAATTGGAACAATCTGCAATTCTGTTTCTACCATCTAGTATTCGATAAGTATATTTATCTCATTGACTCAATATCTTTTTACTCCTTCATGTTGTCTTCTTTTTTCATGAATTTTCTGATTCTGAAAAGAGCATGGTCATTTTTAAACAGACGACAACCTACGTTCGAGACTTCTCAAACTCGCCAAAAAAGAATGAAACTAAGAAATGACGTCAAGTCCGCTAAAGTCTGGGGCTTAGTGACCTTGTTCAACTCCATTTGTTGGGCTCCATTCTCAACGTTTCCTCTTGGAATCGGCCTTGGGGTTGTGTATTCTTTACCAGAATTGTTAACCATGAACTGGTTAGTATTTTTAGGAATGTTAAACAGCATTATGAACCCATTCATTTTCACCTGGCATCGACAAGATTTCAAGAAATCTTTAAAAAAGCTCTTCAGAATTCGAGAAAATCTAGTGCATCCAGCTATTGAAGTCAACGTGATTTCTCTTCGGAAAAGAACAAACAACTCAAACAAATAATGATCGAGCTGGTCCCTCAAGCTTACAAACAACGTTAACCCGATAAAAAAAACTCCTACACCAATTTCTAACAAAGAACCTAACTGGCGATGGAGGAAACATTTTGTGTCATGGATGTATCCCTCCCAGCCCAGTTCTTGCCACAGCAAGGCATAAGTCTGAACCACTTTTGTCTAAAATCATTCCGTTGCCATGCATAGATAAAAGGGTTCATAATACTATTTGAAATTCCAAGAAAAACCAACCAATTTGAAAGACTATAAAGCTCATTATTGACTATTCCAAAACCATATCGAATTTGAAAGACGGTATATGGTGCCCAGCAAATGCTGAATGCCACTGTAACGATTGCCATTATACGAGCGCTACGAATGTCTTTTTCAATCTTTTTCTGTCTTTCAACATTCAGAGAATTTCCAGGTCTTATTCGAGTTTGGTATTTCCATGCCTTATGTAGGATAAAACAATACAAAACAACTGAAATTGCCATAAAAATAAACATAGAAAACCCCGTGATGAGATAAACGGATCGGTGAAATAGTACATGATACAAACACAAGATACCCGAGTCCCAGTTATGAGCACCCACAAAAGGAATAAGAAACAATAGAGCTCCAAATACCCATGCCACAATGACTAGTATATTTGATACTCTTTTGGTCATTAAGTTTTTGTAGTGATGAGGCAGGCATATCGCAACAAAACGATCGAAGGTTGTAAACGTTACTAATAACTGGGAGGAAATGGTTACAAGACTTAAAACCTGGTAACGCAAAAAACACAGGACCATGTTAGTGTTTAGACTGACGACCAGAAAATACAAGACCTGAATTCCCGACGTAAAACCGGTAAATAGGTCAGCGATGGACATATTTACGACAAATTTGTTAGTGGCTGTCTTCAACTTTAAGAACTTCACAAAGATGATGATCACAAAAATATTGCCCACACACGCCAGAACAAACACGGCTTGTTGTAGCGTTATGAAGACGATCAGCTTGGACGTAAATGGTGGCTCGGTTGTAGAAGTGTTGGCAGAGGACATGACAACTTTCTGGAAAAAAAAAGACAAGTGATGATAAAATAGGCATTATATTTAATTAAGTTTGAATTCAACACAATAAAAAAATCAAAAATATGTCAATTGCTCTCTCCATCTCAAACAATGAGCAGTTAACCGTTTCAGTTCATTGACTTGTTGAGGTTTAAAAAAAGAAAAAAAAAATCACAGAATAGGAAATGCTCTCACAATTTTGTTTGTGTTTGATACGGAAAGACAGAAGAGGAAGAGAGCAAATAACTGGATAAAGATGCTTGTGTTAATTTTATGAGATTTCAGCACGTCCTAAATAAATACTTTTGACGTTAAAACGTTTTGAGACAGTGCTCTTTTCTTTTAACAGAATTCCGTAAATTTATTAAAAAAAAAAAACAAAAAAAAAAAACATAAACATTTTGCAACGTGAGTTCAAAGATCAGCAATATTAACATACGTATTTACGTTAAACATGATAAATTCCATATAAAGGTAACTCTTTACTATAATTAACTTTATTTCGTCCCAAAACTAACAAAAAGCCCTGAAGATCTTTCCATATTTTCATGACACACCAATGCTTCTATTTGCAATGTCTGCTGTGTTACTGGTCCAAAACCAGATCATTATGCGCTTACTTTTGAAATATGCCTTTTAGCACAATTTTTTGTAGATCAATCATTTACATGCTTGTTGACTCGTACACTCAGGTTTCCTGTTTTTGAATGATTTTGTTATCATTCTATCGTTAAAAAGAATTCAAACACTATGAAACAGATTTTTTCCTCTGAATCAAACATCACATCACCATGCACAATACACTATGATTGAATTTGCATGATACCGTAGAACTTTTGTACTTTTTTTTTTATCCCAAGTGTTTCGCACTTTATCTTTACCTCGACTACAGCGTTTGTGTTGACCTCTATAACTGTTAGTTGCCGCATTGATATAACGGAGAATATCTTGTGTTCAGTCATAAAACGTTGCTCTCAACCTTAATTCGGCTCGGGCAACTTAAGTCCTTCAGGTCCAACTAACTTTATGTTACCCTCATACTCAGTTAAAAATTGAATGATTTTGAACCAATTCAGAGGCCTCTGACGATTCTATAGTTCTACTAGTTTGCATTTACAATAAAAGAAGAGGAGTAGTACCTGGAACTAAAACTTTAAAATAAGTAAATCGATACAAAAAATATGTATCTTCTGTATCAGTGTAGTTTTCTTAATTATTCCTTTTTATTGAATAAGGACTATAGCTTAAGAAGCGTAACGTTTTGAAAGAATTTTACAGAATTTAATTTTATTTTTAGTAACTTTAACAACACGTTCGCCTTAATCTAAATCAGATACACAGAATTATTTATCTTTTTTTTATTGGTTATCAAATTTTAATGAAATCGGATTACAGGTAAAACAGTAGGAAGAATAACATATGATAGAATTTCACAGATAAGACAAAGTAAGGTAATTGAAAAAGGTTCTGTTCGTTATGAAAATCAACACGCCGTTAAAGTAGTAATGATTTGCAATTAAAAGCGTTAAATGATGCTTGTTTCAAAACCAGCATCGGTTTTAATTCAAAGTGTACAAAAGGCAACAAGAGGATGAGAATTTAGACCATTTCTTCACATTTAAGGTACTTTTTACTTAAGAAAACATATATCGCAAGCTTGCATATCTAGAAATTTCATACACATAATGTATCTGATGCTAGTGCATAAAATATGTAAATTAATAAACAAGCTTGCGCTCTGTGTTTTCTGAAATAAAATGTGCCTAAAATGTGATGAAAATTGAATAAATATGAGAAAATTACGAAGTTGGTCAATTTTGTGACCTCTGTGTATGCTTACTTAAAAGCAAATATCATTTTGGAACAGGGATGTGGCGTTAATCGTTTTCAACAAAATGTCGGTGATAATATGCACATATCCTTACTGCACACATTGTCGTCCTTAGACACATATTGTCACTATAAAGACGAATAATGATCCCCGTTGAAAAATAACTGGGGTCATTTTTAACGTTGGAAAATGACCTCCTAGCCGTAGAAAAATGTATATTTTTTTGGTAGAAAAAGAACCCTAGGGGTAATTTTCAACATGTGCAACCTATAAAAAATTGACCCCCGTTGAAAAATGACCCCCAACCCAAAAGAGTGATACGAAAGTAATTTTTTTTTTAAAAAAGGTGATTGATGACAAGGTTTGGTTCTCACCGTCTAATTTTCTTGCGCTTTTCTGACGAACACTGGAAGAACAAGCAATAAAAAATGTAATATAAGAGCATTACATGTGTTTAGATATTTTACTAGAAAAAGACACTAATGGCAAACTAACAAAAAACTATGATAAACGTGATGACTTCAACTTTTCTATCGTCCACTTGCCATATTTATGTAGCAATATACCATTATTACCTGGATATGGAGTTCATGTCTCCCAGTTGATTCAATACGCGAGTGCATATTCTACTTACTAACAATTTCTAAAATGAGGCAAGCTACTGATAGATAAGTTGATATACAAGGATATCAACAGTCTCGTTTTGTCAACAATTCGCAAATTTTATTATCGAATTTAAGGGTAATGCTACTTTTTCTACAGGCAAAATGGTCATTTTTCGACGTCGAAAGCAATTTTTTTGCTCTCTCTCCTCTCTATCTCTCTTCAAGTCCCCAGAAAATATTTTTTAAAACAACATTGTGGCGGCAAAATGTGCAGATGTTCACAGCACATATTGTTGTCGACGACAATGTGTATACAGCACGACAATATATACCGTCATAAGGGATTACAAAAGGCTTTTGATTATGGACTATATACTTCTTAGAGATACCCCAAATTAGGGACCAAAAAGGAGTCTAAGCTTATCTTGACTTTTCTGCTTTAAAACCATGACAACATCATCGTTGAAATCAAAAGATGATAATAGAAATATGTATCTTAATATAGTTTACTTGCTAATTATTTTATTGAATTCTGACCTGCACTGTAGGAGGAGTGTCGTTACAATCAGGTAGACAGACGGACGACAGACATTTTACCATTGTAAAGCTCTTCTGGTATTTTTAACGAACCTGGACCATACAGCTGTATATTTTACTTACATCACAGTCTAAAATATCGAAAATTAACGAATCGTGGCATTTTGATGAAATACTTATATTAGATTATCTTTAGCATTAAAAGAAAAATGATAATAAAAGATGAAGAAAAAAAAACCAACTAAAAACACGTGAAAGATTTTTCCTGTATCTTTTGTAATCTGTTTTCAAAATCAGACTGTTCTCAGGGATTTTAACACTTTTTTTTAATAAAATGAGATTCAAGATTTATTGAATATGAATGCGTCATACTACCGAAGCTATTGTCTCAAATATCCCATCTAATGTGTTCTACAAATAGAAAAAAGATGTCGATTTCAATAACCTAGTCTTGTCACTGAAATCTTGAGTACGGAAGAGTTTAGACAAACAAATCAACCATTCCCAAAATTAGATGTTTTAGTTACACTGCATGGGTAATGTATCAAAAAGTGAGAGAGTTGTACATTGAAGGACAGAGCAATACGGTGGTCCTAGATAATTATATTTAAAAAAATATTTATTCTGTAAATTACACTATTAACTGATTGCATCAGGGATCTGAAATTAAACATGAAATAAAAACCATGCCTTCCTGTCTGGGATGTGATCGGAAAAAATCTCAGACAAGATAATTACTTCAAACGTTCTGTGCTGTATTCTTTAAGTATACCGAAGAACTGTTTTATATATATAGGATCTCCCATGATTTGTGAATAGATATGATTTTTATTTAACGAGTGGTGTGTGTGTGTTCTATCCCCGAGCCCATACATGGGAGATTCTTTTTATCAAGTTTTATGCTATTTCTATGGGTTTTATCCCTTTTTAAATACTTTTTTTGCCTGTCGACTGTTTTAAGTTGGATTACAACTTCACAAAATGAAATATTACGCTGCTAAAATAGTTCTCAAAGAAATAAAGAAAGACCTTTTAAAAGCAAGATTTGTAATTTCAATTATTTTATTAAATAAATAATTAGGAATTCTACCTCTACCTTCCATGTTTACAAATGCCCATAAATAATGTACATGTATTTGTTTATATGATATCATAAGGTGTAAGAATACATATAGACATGTATAAAGGAAAATATCAAATGGATAAAGGGTTAAGCATGTGATAAAAATATTTTTCCGTAGAAAAGCCACCTCCCGCAAATCCAAATATATATATATTTTTAAAAAATCAGAGGAATCTCGGTTTTTTATTACCCACGTTAATAGTAAGATGAAGGCATTACAGATGTTTGTTGATACTCATGACAAAGATTCATCTACACAACAACATTTTATTGTATTTCACCGAATATCGGCAAAATAAAGTAATATTTACAGGTAGCAATAATTTAACATCCTTTTCCCCCTTCCCAACTGTTGCCCAGTAACTTTCCCTAATCATGGATCAGTTAAATTCAAGCTATGCCTATTAGTATAGTTATGCATAAAATATAATTCATGTATAGTCTTTATTTCATATCAATTATTATTTGAATTTATTGTTAGTGTTTAAATTAAAATTTATGCACAAACATATCTTATCAACAGTGTCATAAATTCGTCGACTTCCCGATAATTATTTGAATTTGCAGTCTGATAGTGTAGCCTTGTAGAAGTGCATCGTTAGAGACCCTTATTCATCGGAGAATTTTGCATAACAATTTTCGTGAAACCGTTTCATCTTTTCAATTACTTCGATACAAAATGTCAAGCGTTTGGAACTGATATTTAATTACCTTCTCATTTTATTACGTTGATAATAAAATAGCAAACCCCTTCTTTAATAATTTTTTTAAGTACAGCCCATTCTAGGTCTCGATTTGATTTATCACAGAATATAAAATATTTTCTACCGATCAATTGATTTTAATTAAAGATTCAATAAAAGTTCTACTTTGTATGATTCAACAAATAATCCGATAGTCC